CACAGAAGTACTTATTCTAATATGCCCTGGAGACATAAAATACAGTATTGAATAAGAATTTTTAGGCAGGTGTTGACAATCACAGCCAACAATACAAAAGGCTTCCACTCTTAACTTCATGAATATGAATTTAAACTCAGAAAGCAAAAGAAACAGAACTTTTCCTAATGTGATATGAATATGATAATGCCAAACTGCCAATGCCTGTGGACCTCAGGGAGGTGCAACCACCATCAGCAGTAGGCCTGTGGAAGACGAAATTTTTAGTTGGCATAGTATTTGCATATAATATCCTTTTGTTCAAACACAATTGGTACATTACAATCTGAAACTTGTTCCAAATTCACGGTAAACCAAGAAGACTATAATACCTACATCTCACTTTCAGCGCAACCTAATATAATATAAACTATAATTTACATGGTCGGGCTGTTGAGATGTCAATGGGAAGTTTGAAAATCTTATGTAAAAAGACCAAGAGTTTATCTAAAATAATAATAATCTAAAATATATAAGCACAACTTGTCTTAAACAAAGCAGAACAAACACATGACGAAGTTGTTTACTGTTTTTGTTTTGGACCAATGCAGAAAATGTTAGTTGGGGTTGAATTGAAATGAGTAAGAAGGCGGGAATGGGAAGAGAATGACAGTCATTTAATGTGAAGAATAGCTTTGAAAGTGGTCCCATCCCATGAAAGTCTCACTTTATCTCTGTAAAATGCAAATAAAGGCCATCACAGGATTAGGATACTCGGATTGAAGCAAGAATGGGTTTCCATGGCCGACTGAATTTTGTCCAGAGACAACGGTTGAAGGAAAGAGGTGATCAGGCCATAGCCAGGCGGAAGCAAACTTATTGAATTTTGGGCCATGAGAAAAGTGAAAATTATATTTAAAATGCTAGAAGTGCTCGTGAAATTATGAAACTTGTTGCATCATTTTTATTGACTCAGCAAGAAGTGTGAATTGATATTCATGTCCACTTGTCTAAGGTTGCTGTAATCAATAGAAGTCTGAAATTATAATTTTGAAGGCAAGAGAAAAAGGAAATCATCGTAAAATACATGATTATAAAATTTGATTAAAGTAAAACTAAAATACAAAGCTTCCCTGCTAATGATGGCTTGATCCAATAACAAAAGGGTGCCGATCTATTTTGAGAGGTTTTGCAATCATGCACGAACCAGGCTGAATGAAGATAGTTTAATAACTATTCTTTGATTCATGAATCATGATGCATTTCATAAACAAACCTATGAGATTCTTGAGCTGTAACTAAAGTGGATTTACTAGATGAGCACTAAGATACAGACAAACTTATTCTAGCTTCTTTCCTTTTACTCTCTTCATTCATTTTTCTTCTCAAGGTTCAACCTTCTTGAAGGCTAAAACATATGGTTCAACCTTCTTGCCTTGTTTCTTCATTGTCCTCGTTTACAGATCGAGCCATTTCCTCTTCAATATTTCTGTATCTGTACAACCAAGAGCACACCAAATAGTAGCCAAAGTTCAACGAACCAATCACACATAGAGTCCAGTACACCTTATCCAGCCTCCCCTCGTTTATATTATCAGGTAACCAACCTGTAACATTCCTGATCAGGTCCACCAAAGCAGTGCTCACGTAGTAAGCAATCGCTATTATCAAAGATATCATGGCAGTTGCTGTGTTTCGGAGAGAAACTGGAAATTCTTGATAGTACAATGTGACTTGTCCTGGGAAATGGAAAACATCTGCGAGGCCGCTAACAACAAGTTGTGGAAACAACCAGAGAACGGGCATGGGGACTCTGGCACCAGGCTGTGCTTGAACGTGCTTGGCATTGGCTATTTTCAACCTTTTTGACTCCACCAAGGCTGCTATGGCTATGCTTAGCACATTTAAAACATGACCTACTCCAATTCGCTGGAGAGGCGTCAGAGACCTACGAGCCAATTTCTGCCAGGTAGGGAGAAAGAATTTATCAAAGATGGAAAGAAAGATGCAGTTGGAGATTGATGCCACAACTACCATTGATCCTGCTGGGATTTTAAAATTAGAACCAAGCTGACGATCCATGGCTAGAGCTTGGAGAACTGTCATGCTGAGCAGAATGGCTATAGGGATGGATAAGAATAATGTGCTTGACCAAAGTGGGAAAATTCTAAGCAAAGTTTTCAGGTTTTCCACCTCCTCAACTGTGCATAGCCTCCATGATTTCACAATTGAGCCATCTGATTTAACATCTTCATCAGTTTTCAGTGCTGCTCGGTTCAAGAACCTGCAGAGGAAAAAAAAAAAAAATTCAATCTTCAACCTTTAAGTTTTGACTTATATCTAAAGAAAATCAGTGATGCCAATTCAGAATAAGGTCACACCCTAAGCTCCGAGGAGGTGTTGCACCCATGGTTTTGCACCTTTCATCTTTTTCATGGTAATAATCCTCACTTATAGATGATAAAGGGATATTCCTCTTCCGTATAGCAGCAACAATGACACGAGCTAAGCCCGTGTATGGGCTCCCCTGAGGCTTGTCATGTTTATAGAATCGGTTTCCCAACAAGAAAATAACTAAACCAACAAAATTAGAAGCAGCACAGATCCCAAAGCCCAGACCCCAGCTGATACTGTCCTCAACATACACAATTATTGTGGAGCTTATTATCGTAGATGCAAAAAATATGCAGAAAAACCAGTTAAAATAAACACCCTGATGTTGAGGCTTGTCAAATTGATTTGCTCCCAAAGTTGCTAGAGTAAATCTCATTGCCCCTTGGCCAATAGTAGCTAAGGCTATAGCTGCATATAGCACTGCAAATTGAACTCTTGATGGAGCTTGGCAGAAGCTTGATCCAGTCTCACAATGAGGCCTCAAGGAGTTAATAGATGCTGTTAAGGTCAGGAGAACCACTCCCTGCAAGGGAAAAATAGTGATTAATTTCAAAACAGAAAGACCTGAAATTATTAATCCTTTCGTGAGGATCAACTGCCAAGGGTAAGACTTCTTACCAGCAAAGAGAAAAAGGAAGAAATTGCAACAACAGAGAAGTTGCCTAAAAAAGAGTCAGCAAGAATTGCTGCAATGATTGGTAGGATACTGACTGAACCATTAAGAATATTTGTGATCTGAGTAGCATCAATGCTCTTGACGTTGAACTCCTCAATCAGATACACAATCAGGTTCAACATCCATCCACTACCGGCCAGCATCAATCCCACTAAGGTTGCTGGTTATTACAACAGAACAAATATATTAGTACAACATAGTTCTCCATGCTGTGTGTCAGTATGTGCACCCAGTTATCTGGGAGGCAGAGATTTAGAGACAGACCTGCAATAAAGGGGAAGGTGATCCAACCGCCACGTTTCCCATTAGAATGTGATCTGCCAGCTTCTTCATCTGCGGATGTTTGGAACTCCATGGCAGGCATTTTCAGTTCTAGTTGAAATGTCCTCATTAGCAGTATTCAAATAATACAGAGGCACTTGTTTTAATATGCCCAACTTGTGCAAGTTTGTTTGATTGTGGTCAACGATACAAATTTTAAGTTCCATTCTTAAATGCAGGAATGAGGCATCTGACTCCTTTTGGCTGAAAGGATTTAACCTGTAATTAGCCCCCAGCCTCTCCCTTATAAAACCCCTCCCAGTCAAGATTCATGTGTTATCCTTTTATTAAATAATTTTTTTGTTACTTTAATATTTTCCAAATTGGTTGCTTTAGTACTAATTAATACTCAATAAAAACAATCTGGCTTAATTAGCATTAAAATAAATATATTGACTTTCTCATCCATCTTCTAATGATAGGGGGTGGGAATCTTGGCTTAGAGCATTCCTTATCTTTTACACAAAAGAAGAATATAAAAGAATAATTTGAAAGCTGTTCCATCATGATCCCAGTATACCAGCGGCAGATACCAACTCTGAGAAAAATTTTCTGATTTATGAGGCATTTCAGAAACAACATGGCCAACACTACCTGGGGAGCCTCTTGTATCTTCAAAGTAATACATCCAGTTGGGTGATGTTACCAAAAAAAAAGAAAATGGAATTATTGAGTTGAAGTTAAATAGATTATAAACTTGTTTATCCTTCCTCCTTTTTCTTCTCTTGTTACTTGGTCTGATGCTTTCGCATTTATTTTGGATCCACATCCCATATGATCACTAGTAAATGATCATCCAGTAAATAAGAAAGGATATCACAGACTGCAAAAACTTGATCAATGAAAGAAACATTCATCCTTGTACTTTTCCATTGGACAATGGAAGAAGAGACAGAATGGTAAAGATATTAAGCAGTTTATCACCCTTAACCCATGGCATGAATTTTACAGAACACAAAATTCAAGCTGAATGATGAAGATATCAAGTAAAAAAACATACAATTCTTTTCATTTATATATTTCACAACAAGATATTTGAGTCTAACTTACAATAAATCAAATCAAGGGTTACAACAAAGGCATGTAATACATTCAGAAGATATTAAAAAATTTAAACACATCATAAATACATATCAGAAAGGGAGAAGCATCAAATCTGAAGTTTTACAGGCTTATGGAGGTTGCGAGGGGACTGGCATTGTCACAATTCAGTGAATAGGCAGTTACAGGTGCTCCACTGAAGAAAGCTATCCCAAAAATATTGCAGATGCAAAAATTGGAAACTTCAATCTGTGACCCATCATGCTGGGTTGCATTTTCTCAACCACCAAAAATTTTGCATCAAACAATAATTGAGCTGGGTGCTTAGGAGATAGAAGCACATATCAAACAAACTAGGGAAAAGACTTAATACATATTTAATAAGGATGCGCTGGATTCAGAGCTAAGGCCTCCCTGTAAATCATGTCCTTTATCTGCTCTTCTCCCAATGGTTGCTGCTCAAAATCAAAGGAAAATGGCTCCAGGCAGACTGGTTCATCAGCTATGTCATGCAGTCTTTCTAAGTATGGATGTGCTAGAGCTTCTTCAACTGCCCAAAAATAAAAAATAAAAAAACATTTTCATTCAGAGTGAATTTCAAAAAGACAAGAGAAGAAGAAGAAGAAAACAAGTGTATCTTAAAAAGGCTAGTGTATGCATAAGCAATGTAATGACTAATAAACTTGCCAGTAATTCTTCTGGTGGGATCAAATGTCAACATTCTATCAACTAGATCAATGGCCAATGGGTTAACATTTGGGAAAACTGAGGCTAATGGTCGACGTTGATGAGATGGAAGCTGTCTGATATATCTCCTTGCGTCCTCATTTTGAACAAAGCCAAGATCAGATTCAGTTGGTGTTCCAAGAAGCTGGTGATCACAAAAAATAAAATTGACAAAAAAAAAGGTGTCAATTTGCAATTAGCAAGAACTTATCCTCCTTCATATTATTAAGTCATATTTTTGGTTGTACATATATGAAAATATACAGCACATTGTTGAAGAAGAGAAAAGATAGTGCAGTGGAGTTAACACACATTATGCTCCTAATTGTCCATCACAGAATTAAATCTATCTGGTAAAAATACAATACATCAATTTAATTCTAACACCTTAGCAGTTATATATATTCAATACAGGACAACCAGAGAATCCAAAATGAAGCTGTCAAATGACAGCAAAAATGTGCAACAAGCTAAGCTGCAAATGTTTGATGAAGATGAAGATGCAATGGACAGTAAAGGAAATGCAGATGCAAAAGGAATACAAATACAAATGAAATGAAAGGTTGCAAAGTGGCTGCAGAGCTGCCAAAGGACGCAAGCATGTAGCAAAAGTGACTGTTACCTGTTCAAATTTCAAATGTAATTTTATTGATTTTTACGTAGAATAGTTGTTTAGAGAAAATACAAAAGTTTTTGAATTTTGAATTGTTTTAAAATTTGTATTCCCTTATATACAGGAGAGTTTGTTAATGAGAAAATTTGAATTGGAGTGTTATACTCCTCTAAATTTTTAGTTTATGTTCTGCTCTTCATCTTCCTCCCGATTTTCTCTCCATTACTTTGTGAAAAAAACCAACAATTAGTACAACAAAGTCCTGCATGCTGCTGTGCAACACCAGTTCCATGAGATAGAGGTAGAAAGAGACCTGCAATAAAGGGGAAGGTGATCCAGCCACCACGTTTGCCCCCTGGAACGTGACATCCCGGTTTCTCGGTCCAAAGATGGTTGCAACTCCATGCTTGGCATTTTTGAGTTCTGGTTGAAGTTTTCGTGTTAACAGTACTAATTATATAACAAAGAAGTACTTATTCTAATATGCCCTGGAGACATAAAATACAGTATTGAATAAGAATTTTTAGGCTGGTGTTGACAATCACAGCCAACAATACAAAAGGCTTCCATTCTTAACTTCATGAATATGAATTTAAACTCAGAAAGCAAAAGAAACAGAACTTTTCCTAATGTGATATGAATATGATAATGCCAAATTGCCAATGCCTGTGGTGTAGGAAATAGGCATATTTTGTAATTTTGTTTTATATTAAGGGCTTTTATGTAACTTTACATTTTATATAACCTAATATTTATATGCTGCTAA